CCAACAAGACAGAAACAGACTTCAGAGGATAATTAGAACTGCAGAAAAATCAATGGCTGCCAACCTGCCTTCCATAGAGGACCTGTCCACTGCACAAGTCAAAAAGAGGGCTGTGAAAATATCTACAGACCTCTCGCATCCTGCTCTCAAAATGATGCTATAGAGCACTGAACACCAAGACAACTAGACACAAGGACAGTTCCCCCCCCCCGCCATCACTTTGCTAAACAAATAATTCCCACAAGTGTCAAATTATTTACTAAGACTGTATTACTGTTATTCTTCTCCTCCTTCCTAGTACCTATCTCTCCCCACTTATGACTATAACCATGCTGCTCGTATCTTTACAATTTATACTGTTCTATTTGTTTCCTAGTATGATTTGATTGCTTATTAGTAATCTATGGCTATCACTAAGTGTTGTATCTTATGATTCTTGATGAATATATTCTATTTTATTTCTCTTTATGTACACTGAGTTTATGCACCAAAGACAAATTCCTTGTGTGTCCAATCACACTTGGTCAATAAAGAATTCTATATCTCTATATTCTACCTACCTAACAGCAGGAAAAGCCAAGGCCGAATTTCTCGCCATCCTCCCGTCCTGCCTTGCAAGGAGATCGCTTCCTAATAAGGTAGGCAAGAAGGACGTCCCTGGCTCTCCTCTGATTGGCCGAGAATCGCCTAGAAGGAATTTGCCTCTGCATCCCTCCATCGCTCGACCAATGAAAGCGAGCCGGCCGGGTCGGATTGACAGCTCCTCCGGCCAATGGCGCCGAGGCGGCTCGGGAATTCTTCGCTGACTACAAAGTAACTTGGCGCTTCCGAGTTTTTTTGAATGGGCCGCTTCCATTCACGGGCCGGTGGCGGGAAAAGAGCCCCCCGCGCCACTTCCCGGCTCCGTAGCTGACCAGGGAACAGCGCCCGATCCTATCCCGGGTGAAACTGAGCCTCGATCCTATCCCGGTGAAGCTGCACCCGAGGAGGAGCGTAAAGTGTTGACGCTGCAAGGCGGAAGGCGGACTCGGCTACTAGAGGAGCGCCCGTGGACGCGGGTAGGCATCGAGGGAGGGAAGGAAAGGGGGGAAGGGTTTGCGGGGCCGTGGGACTTGGGGTAGTGGGGGAAACCTCCTCTCGGATTAACCCGAGTGGCCGATCGCGGGGTCGGGCTGGGGGATTCGAATTCTCGGGCTGCCTCCCGTCGACCTCCGAGGGGGGTGGTCTTTCCCCGCGAGATCTCCCGTGGGGAACCCAGACGGGGTTGCGGGACGATAAGCATGGCAACCCGGGTTGGTTTGGCGATCACTTCCCGGGTCCCCGCGTGTCGTGGGAATGCGGCCCGAGCACCCTTTACTTGGCAAAGGAGGGTTGTGGAAAAAAGTGGGGAGGGGGATCCGGAGTGGTAGTCCATCTGTCCGGATCAAGCAGTTGGCTTTCCCCTCTCCGCGATTCCGCCCTTGCCCCCACCGCACCCGGGTTCGCGAACCCAGCCGGTTCCTTTCCCCGCCAAGCGCTTCCTCCTCCCTGGCCTCTCCCGTGGGGGTCGGAGGCCCCTTTTATCCCACCCACCCCTTGCAGCTGTTTCCAGATGTCGCCTCCTCGGGGGGCCGGACAGAAGCGAGGCCGGGAGTGTGGTGTGGGGAGCCCGCTGGAGCGGCCACCAGGATCCCTGGGTCCCCCACCCACGTGTCGTGCTGGGGTGGGGGAGCTCCCTGGGAGTCTAGGGAAAAGTGAAAGCGGAGCGCGGTTCTAACCTGCAAGGGCGGGGAGCAAATAGGGGGGCGATTCTGCTTTCACTTTCTGTGGGGTAACAGAAAGAGGCCCGATTCCTAGCACGGTAGTGGGAATGGAAGCGCTTCCCCCGAGCGGGGCGATCAGGGCCTTTTCCGGGAAGAGGAGGCGGCGGCGGGGATGGGAGGGGACTCCCTTCCAAGCAGCGCTCGGTCGTCGGATTCGGCCCTGGGGGAAGGGGCTCCTTGGCCCGGCGTAAGAACGAGGCAGGGCGGCTTGCGGGACTTGGAGGTTGTTATTCCGGAATAAAGCCATTTAAACCCAAGTTGTGCTTTTGGTACTGATCTGGTTTCTATCCCTCCAGCTGCCCCCAAGGATTCACCACGGAACCCCCAGATTTCTCTTGCTAAGCCAAAGAGTTGTGAAGGAGAATTTTGCTCCCTGTTTTATGACCTTCCTTGCCGCAGTTCTTAAGTGAATCGCTGCAGCTCTTCAGTTAGTCACAAAGTTGTTAAGTGAATCTGATTTTCCCCCTTGGTTGCAAAAGGGGCATCACATGACCTTGGGACATTGCAATCGTCATAAGTGTGAACCAGTGGGTCAAACTTCTAAATTTTGATCACATGATCCTGGGGATGCTGCAAAGGTCCTAACTGTGAAAAATAGTTGTAACTCACTTTTTTCAATGCCGTTGTATCTTTGAATGGTCGCTAACTGAACTGTTGTAAGTCAGGGACAGCCTTTTTTAACAGACAGAGTTGGAAGGGACCTTATAGGTCAGTGATGACAAACCATTTTTGCCTCGGGTGCCAAAAGCAGACATGTGCGTGCACCCCCACCTCCATAATATAATGCTTCCCCCCCCCCCGCGCCGTGCCCACTGCAGGCTAAACAAATGGTCATAAGTCCAAAACTAGCTGCAGTGACATCTTCTGAAGTGCTGAACTGTTTGCAACGGAAAATTATGGGGAAGCTAATAAATGATCAGGCTTTGACTAAGAACTGAAGGGGTCATTGAGTGAGCCGAAGAGTTCTCCAGAAATTCAGGTGGAAATCTAAAGGTGAGGCCCATCACCTTGAGACTGGGGAGGGCTAGAATTCAGATGTCTCTATCTGGACTTGGATTCCTAAATGTGCTAAGTTGTAATTTGGTTAGTGTACAGGTAGTCCTCAACTTTCAACAGTTCACTTAGTGACCAAAGTTACAACGGCACCGAGAAATAGTGATTTATGACACCTTTTCACACTCACGACCATCCCCACCTCCCCATGGTCAGGTGATCAAAATTTCAGGCACTTGGCAACTGGCCCATATTTATGATGGTTGCAATGCCCCAGGGTCATGTGATCCCCTTTTGTGACTTTCTGATTAGCGATTGTGGAGGGAGAGAGCCAGATTGCCTTAATGACTGTGTCACGAATTTAATTGCAGTGATTCACTTAACAATGTAAAGGTCATAAAACCGGTGAAAAACTCACTTCACAATTACCTTGTTTAGCAGTGGAAATTTGGGCTCAATTGTGGCCGTAAGTCAAGGACTACCTGTACCATGCGAACCTATCCATCCCTCCCCTCTCTCTCTATGTGTGTGTGTGTGTTGTATTTGTGCTGATAAATAAATAAAGGGAGACTAGTATAGATCTATTTCAAGCTATTTAGCTCTCATCAGCTAGCCATACCCTTACTGGGATTCAAATCTGTGCTGTATTGTGCTGAATCCCAGTAAGGGTATGGCTAGCTGATGAGAGCTAAATAGCTTGAAATAGATCTATACTAGTCTCCCTTTATTTATTTATCAGCACAAATACAACACACACACACACACACACACACACACAGACATATATATATATTCAATATGTATTGAATATGTATCAATATGCATATATATTCAAAATGT